CTGGCCAACATGGTGAAACCCCATCTCTACTAAAAATACAAAAATTAGCTGGGCATGGTGGCACGTGCCTGTAGTCCCAGCTACTCAGGAGGCTGAGGCAGGAGAATCACTTAAACCAGGGAGGCAGAGGTGGCAGTGAGCCAAGATCATGCCATGGCATTCCAGCCTGGTGACAGAGCGAGACTCTGTCTCAAAAAAAGAAAAGAAAAAAAGATCCTGTCATTTGCAACAATATGGATGAACTGGAGATCGTGACGTTAAGTGAAATAAGCCAGGCACAGAAAGACAAAGCTTACATGTTCTAACTTTTTAGTGGGCACTAAAAATTAAAGTAATTGAACTCATAGAGAGTAGAAGGATGGCTACTATAGGCAGGGAAGGGTAGTGGGGGAGGTGGGCAGGAGGGAGGAACCTAGGTTAATGGGTACAAACAAACAGAATAAAGAAGATCTAATATTTGATAGCACAATACATTGATTATAGTCAATAATAAGTGTACATTTTAAAATAAAAGAGTATAACTAGATTGCTTGTAACACAAAGAATAAATGCTTAAGGTGATGAATATCCCTTTACCCTGATGTGATTATTATGTGTTGCATGCCTGTATCAAAATATCACATGAATACCGTAAATATATACACCTATTTATGTACTCATAAAAATAAAAAAATTTTTTTAAAAAGCTGTCACAGAATGTATCCAATAAAATCCTTACTCAATATGGAAGACCATTCAGAGCTATTAAAATAAAAAAGTTATGGAGTAGTTCTCAAAATCTGCATTTCTACCATTCTTTAATAAAGGAAACGAGAATTCCCTAGAGAAATAGTTGCTTCCATTGCTGGACAGAAAAATATTAAAGGAGCATAATGTATTTTATGATGTCAGTAAGTTACAGAAGCGTTAAAAAAAAAAAAAGGTGGCAAGGTATGGTGGCTAATGCCTATAATCCCAGCACTTTTGGAGGCCAAGGCAGATGTATCACTTAAGCCCAGGAGTTCGAAACCAGCCATGGCAACATTGGGAGACCCTGTCTTTACAAAAGATACAAAAATTTTCCAGGTGCGGTGGCGCACACCTGCAGTCCCAGCTCCTCAGGAGGCTGATGTGGGAGAATCACCTAAGCCTGGGAAATGTAGCTGCAGCAAATATTATTGTGCACTGCCCTCCAGCCTGGAGGACAAAGTGAGATCCTGTTTAAAAAAAGAAAAAAAGTGTAGGTCTAAGGGACACAGGAGCTTGAAGGTCCTCCTAATGGCCAAAGCTGGAACAATTGTA